TAAGACAGAACTCTAGGTTGACTTTTTCCTTTCTGTACTTTAAAAATGGCTTTCTATTGCCTTCTGTTTTGTATAGTTATTGACAAGAAGTTTGCTTCTTTCTTCTTCTGTATGTAATTTTTCTTTTTTCTCTGGCTGACATTGAGATTTTCTCCCAAAAAAGAGAAATATAGTTTTCAAGCAAATGGACTTCAAGCGTATAGGGATACTTGATAGACATTGTGGGTTTGATTCCAGACCACCACAATGAGGTGAATATTGCAATAAAGCGAGGCACAGATTTTCTTCTCTCCAGTGCTCTGCCAAATGTGAAAGAGTTGAATGTCCTTCTTTCCTCAGTAAAGCTTGTCACTTTTTGGAATTTGGTTATTTGGCTGCCTTGTGATAGCTCTCTGAAGGATTCAAGAAAACATACGATTTTGTAGACTATTCATTTTCTTACTGTTAGGATGTGAGTGATGTCCCTTGCAGCTTTCTACGTCCTAAGTGGAAGCAGAACTCCCACCAATGTTTGCTTTTACCGTGGGCATGATCTTGATTATTCAAAAACCATGAAGGACAGGAACTGTATTTGCAGAGTCCAGCACAGGGGCTGCAAATTAGTGGCTTATAGATTTCACGTGAAAACCCAGGTTTCTAGATTATTTTGAGAAATGTGACCATATGACACCCTTGGGCCACATTTGCTTGCCTATTCATGGGGCACAGGCTCTTGAGTTATTCATTGTGCCCAGAGTGACACCAGTACCTCCTAACACTGACTTCTCCTTTATCCCCATGGGGTAGACCATTCTGAGCCCCCCGTTGGCTCCTCAGAGACCTCTTGGAACGGATTCTGTGAACAAGCATTGTTCTATGCAAATCCCAAGCCAGAAGCAGAACATGGCATATGACAACCAAGTGCCCTGGGCTCACGAGTAGTAAAGGAGGTCTTGGCTCTCCCTGGGAGGAGACAATATGCATCCTTTCTACCACAGGTAAGAGTCTCAGAAGTGGCTGCAGAACTGCATATGTGAGGATGCCAACTTCATCAGGTAAGCAACCAGGATGCCAATTTCTTTGTTTCACCAGCAAGCAGGGTAATCTGTAATGGTCCCCCCAAAACCCTGGGAGGTAGGAACTACTCCCCTGGGAGGGGCTGCAGGGATGGTTGAGGTAGAATGACACTGAATTGTTACAGAACTGCAGAGCCCTCATCACATGGTGGGACCTGTGGATCTGTGGTTCCCTACCTCAGGAGCAGTTTCATTTTGGAGGGCTCAGGGTAAGGACCCAGGGCTAGACTGGGTCAGGCAGAACTGTTTCCTTAACTATCTGGAAGTGCATGTCATTTAGGGAATGAAGGTAAACGAAGCCAAGGAAGGGAGCCAAGGCCTAAATCCCAGAAGCAACATCATGAGACAGGTCTGAGGGGAGGGTGCTGGGCTCTGAGCAGGAAACCAGGCTGAGAGATGGGTGTGAGGGGATGAGAGAGCTAACTGGCATGAGACTGGAGGAGAGGATGGATTTAGCACGAAGTGGGGTCCGGAGAGTCTTAGCACAGAGAGGGCCAGACTGCTTGACACCTAAATGCCCTTCTATTTGTGGGAAGGAAGGCTGGGGGTAGGAGACTGACCAAGCACAGAAGCACCTAAGACACTAACTAACCCTAAGCCGGGCACACTTACCTATCTGGGGCTCCCACCTACTGTGTGGAGACTGAAAGCTTTTTGGAACACATGCAGGGTTAAAAAGAAGACATCCAACAAATGGAAGTTCACAAGAGCACTTCTGACTTTGTGAAGAATAAGATTAATTAGTGAAAGTAGGAACTTCTAAAGAAAAGAATCAGAACTTCTTCTCTTACAAACAAAGCTTGAACCTCTTAGCAATCACGACTCTGATTGCAAGGATCTTACTCAAGTGCCTGGAGAGTCTTTTACTGCCAAGAACAGGAGAGCTGCAGCACTTCAGAGAGCTGAATTACGCAGAATTCTGCTCGGCTCTAAATCAGCCCAGACAAAGACCAGAGACAATTTTCAGGCTGAAGTCAGAATCAGGTTTTTTGTTTCTTAGGGGGAGTATGTTTTTTATTAAGATATAAAATTAATTCATAGTCACCGAAGAAAATTTGTAAAATGTACAAAGTGTAGAGAATTAAATAAATGTCTACATTCCATAATCCAAAGATGGTTTACATTTTAAGTATTTTTTTTCCAAAAATTTTTGGTGTGGATACCTCTGTTTTTTTTTTTTTTTACCCACACAAATCAGGGTTCTTTTAAACAAAAAACTGTTTCCAGCTCTTTCCATTTACTATATCAGGAAGAGTTAGTTCTCTATTGACTTCATTATTTCTTGAAACACTTTTTAATGGTTCGATAATATTACTCATTATGGATATGCCATCATTTATTTTAATTACTTTTAAACTAATGATCAATTAGGTTGTTTCAATTTTTCATCATTTTAAATAAGATTCCAGTAAACATCTGTGGGTGTAATCTTTGTGCATCTCTTTGATTATTTCCTCAGGAACAATTCTCAGCATATTAAGATTTGAGGGCTTCTTTGATACGCAGTCTCAAATTACTTTTCAGAATGGTTACACTTCTTTATATCCACACTAACAATGTATGAGCACTTTTGTTTCATGAATCATTAGCCAACACTTAGCACTATCATTAAAAGAAAACAAAAAAACCTTTGTCTATTTGTTAGCTGAAAAGTGGGATCCAGTTGTTTTGTTTTGTGTTTCTTTCTGGACATTTCTTCATAAGTTTATCAAATGCTTTTCTTTTATGAATTATCATTTTATGCCATTCACCTATTCTTCATATTGGGGATAAGCATCTTACTTTAATTTTGATACCGTTTTGCTATGGCAGGCCCCAAAAGGAATCCTAAAGAGAAACTCATGATGTTAAAAACCTTTTGATTTATAGCTTTAAGCTTTCCAAGGATTCCATTGGGGCAAAATGTGAAGAAAATGGGAGGTTCTTCTGGGGCAGTCTCTCAAGGTATGGCCCTTGGGCCCTCTGCACCAGAATCAAGAGTGGGAGTTGGGGAACATGTATTTAAATTACAGATTCCTGAACTCCCACTCCAGACACAAAGAGTCAGCATCTCTGACAACTGGACCCCAAAACCCACATTTCTATAATATCTCTGATTGCTTTATATGCAGCCCCAATTCAACAACCAAAATGACAACCGAGGCCAAGAAACCTGATATTCATACACCCTCTGGAACAAAAGGAGCCAACCACACAGAGAAGTGAGCCCAAACATTGACGAATGGAAGTTGAGCTTCCAACTCCAATGGGCTGTTGGGTCTTGTACTTTCTGTTCTTTTTGATATCTTGACCTCCATTGTTCTTTAACTTGATTAATGCATTATCACTCATCTATTCAGTCCCCAAGTTAGAAAAATTATAGCCATCGTTGATGTCTTCCTATTCCTTGCACCCCTTACCTCTTCTCATAGATGTAACAACAGTTTATTTTACATACAAATGTCTTTAAATCTCTTTTCCTTTCTCACCACCTCTTACTTAGCCTCCTATTATCTCCGTCTCTTCTTTCCTTTCTCCTGTTTATTCTACCCATATTCTCTACCATTATCCCACCTCCACTGTGCACCAGGTATGCTTACATTCTAAGTTGCAACATGCCTAGAAGCTTCTGCTTGCTATGTAAAAGCTTCTGATTATCCTCCCCAGTGCCACCCCCCTTCCAATTTTCTGCAGCCCCTAAATTCCTTCTTTTTTCTAGTGAAGGGGTGAGAAACTGGGAGTTTTAGAGAAGTTGAAGGATTGGATTACACAGGGAAATTAAAACAAAACTCAGGAGGCATGAATGTGCAAGAGACTGCTGTGGCCAGCTTAAGATCTCAGAGGTTAAGCAGCTCTGAGTGATAACACCATTCAAGACCTGGACCAAGCCTTGGGTTGCTGAGGAGTCTGAGAGGACAAGGGCATGTCAGGCCATGCTGTTGAGTGGGTCATCTGCGTAGACCCTGAAGCAGCTCAGACATATGCTATTATTCACAAGCAGAGAGCCACGGAGTATGAACAGCTCAGGGTAACGTTTCTCCATTCCTGGAAAAACAACTTAGAGCAAAGGACAAAGGGTTACTGTGTTGTTCCCTTCATGTAAAAGGAAATAATAATTTTGATGGATTTGGTGGGACATTTTGGAGCCAAGTCAAACTGTGTGTGTGATTGTTTTGTAAAGGTGCTAGGACTTAATTTTCAGATCTGGAATAAGAACAGGTGGTGGCTGATGGCAAGAGTCACAATGGTTTCCATGACAACGGGACTGGTTCTTAGTCATCCTCCCCTCCTCCACAAAACCTATTGCAGCTTTTCTCATAAATAAGGTGCTTATTAAATATTTGTTAAATGAATGATGAATCACAGAATGATGTGTGTGCTTTGCAATTAAGGCTGCCGTTCTGTTGCTAGCTAAAAGCTTTTAAAGCAACAATAATTACTGTATTTGCATATGATATTTTGCATAATTTGCATATTAACTTAACCTTAAAATGATAAACTACAGATTCCCATCCCAACTGAACAACCCGTCCCATATCTACCCCCTATCGTGGAAGACGTATCCAGATGTTTGACTTAAATGGCCTTAAAGGGGGGAGGGGGGTGGCCCTATGCAGTAGTTGTGCTTCCATATTAGCTAGAAAGGCTCGTTTTCTTCCAAGCTTTCCAGCCCCTCTCCCTCCCTCCCCGGCTCTGCGCAGCCGCCCACGCGCAGGCGGCAGCCTGCCCCTCCCCCAGCGCCCCCCTTCCCGCGCGGAGGCTGGAGTCAGCGGGCCCAGCGGAGCGCACAAAAGACCTCCGCAGCCGGCGTCCCGCGTTGCCCTTGGCAACCATTGATCGGCGTCTCATTCTCCCTTGACCCGGCAATTAGACAGCAAGCAGGGCCTCCATTGGCTGGCCGGGAAAGACAGACCAATCGGAGAAGAGGTTGTAGGGAGGCGGCTGAGCGGGATTGTGGGGGTAGGAAGCTAGGGTTAGAGGCTAAGGGTGAGGCTAGAACCCCGAGCGTGGTCGGTTGGAGCAGTATGTCTGTCCGGAGGCACATTGGGAATCCTGAGGTGAGGGCTAGGTCCGGATCGGAGAGGCGGAGGGGGCGGGCGCACCGGAAAAGGCTCCACGTGGGCAGGGAAGAGCAGCCAGCGACTTCCGCCGCCCGGAAGGCGGGAAGCGGCGGCGTGAGGAGGGGTCTGGAGAGGGGAGGGAGGCGAGGCGGGCCTAGGGAACGCGGAGCCTGGCCATTGTCTTGCGGTGACAGGCCACCGTCTGGCACAGCCCTACTGTGCGCTCGCGTTGTCGCCGAAAGGAGCGAAGTGCGTGAAGACACAAATCCCTTCCCTCAAAGGGCTTACAGTCTAGGAGTGGCTGTTACAAAACATAAGTAACATCCGAATGAAGCCCGGAACACTAAAGGATCAAAATCAAAGGAGCCATCATTTCCAGTTATGGGAATACAGAAAGAGTAGGAAAAAGCAGACCAGGCTATTTGGAAAAGATGCAAAATATGACATTAGTTTTATCCCCTCCTGGATAAGACCTTTTACTTTCTTGTCTGTTTCACCCCTAGTTTCCTGCTGCATTTGTGGTCATTTAATCTCAGCAAATGTTTATGGATTCCTTCTGTGCAGTAGATGCTAAAAATACAAAGAGATTAAGAAAAGGCCTTTGTCCCCTAATAAGTTTACTCTAGTGAGGAAGGCTTATAAACAGAATTTGAGTACAACGTGGTTGAAGAACAAGGTGTTTAGCGAGCACAGAGGAAAGACAGGACTCAACTGAGGGAGTGAGAAGGGTCCTGGAGATGGCACGAAATGGCAAGGTTATCAGCCAAGTGAAGAAGCATCCCAGGTAGAAAGAATGGCTGAGACAAGTTAAGGACGTGTGAAGGAAAAGGCGAGTGGACAGTTCCCTGTAGAGAGGCAGGAGTAAAGTCTGGAAGGGCCTTCTGTGCCTTGCCAACATTCTTGGTCTTTATACTGAACAGGAGTTACAACTTGTTTCATCTCATGATGGATGACTGTGAGCTTTGTTGGGAAAGTTGTGAAGCTGAGTTTAGGCTCTGCCAGGGAAGTGCCATGATCGATTATAGTGACTGCCACGGAGGCAGGGGAGGTAGGTGTGGAGAGTGGTGATTTGACTGTCCCCTATTTGTCTTGCTGGCTGGTCAGAATTTGAGAAGTTTTTGAGGAGTTTTAAGATGCATCCAAATTGTTGCCTGTAGCAGTAGTTCATTAGCTGTTAGTTCATGAGCGATAGTTCATAGCTCATGTTTTTGGTCAGATTTTCATTTTAGGCAGATGATTGTAGCCACATTGTGGAGAATGGATTTGAGGAGGTCAGGACTAGGAATAGGGAGACTGAGATTGGTTAGGTGATTATTGTGATATAGACCCAGAGTAAGGCGTCAGAACTAGGGACAGAAATGATAAATACTTAGGGGGTAAAATCATCACAACTTGGTGATTAGCTGTGAGAAATGGGAGTGCGATGGGTGACAGGTTTCTAGCTTAGGCTTCTCGTTGGTGCTGATGCCAATAATGAGATCAAGAATATGGGAGAAAGAGGAGGAATAGTCTTACGAGTGTAGGGGAGAGGAGCAAAGATGCCCTGTGTGTTACACATTTGTGCCCAACATGAAGATGTTGAGCTTACTCTCTTGTTTTCATGGAGCACAACTGCCAGTAGTCTCTGGAGAAAGAGTCCATAATAAATAAATATTTAAAATGTATGTCTAAAACGGTAGGTATGTCAAAAAATGTTGTTATTCTACCTTCACATTTATTTTCTTGAGAGTTTGGTTGAGTATAGAATTCTTGGTTAGAAATCACCAGCACATTGAAAACATTGCATTGTGGTCTTCTAGCATTCAGTTTTTGTTGTGGAGAAGTCCAAAGCCGTTCTGTTCCTTTGCATGTGACTTAATTGTTCCTTTCTGGGAGCTTGTAGAATCTTCTCTTTGTCCCCAGTGCTATGAAATTTCACAGAGATATTCCTTGCTATGGGTCTGTTTTCACTTTATTTTGGTGGGCACCAGAAACTCATGTCTTTCCATTCTGTAAAATTTTTTAAAAATTATTTTGTTGTTGATAATCTTCACTTTCTTTATCCTCTCTTACTTGAATGTGTTATTCTGATGTTGCTTCTATATGACTAGTTCTCTAATTTTCTTAATTTTTTTCTCATGTTTTCCACATCTTTGTTTCTTTGTTCTCTTTGGGAGATTTGTTCATCTTTGTCCTCCAACCCCTCTATTGAGTTTTTAATTTCTGCCATCGTGTTTTTAATTCGTAATAACTCTATTTTGGACTCCAATGTCCTTTTCAGAAACTTTTATCTTGAAATAAATATAGATTCACAGAAAGTTGCAAAAATAG